CTATAGTGATTTGACTAAAAGGGTCTCTTTAAGTCTTTGGACTTCAGACTTTAAGGATTGATTACGTACCGTAGTTGTGGACCTCAAGGCTTTCAAAGAAGCTGTCCGATTATCTGAGAAGCATTGAGGAGATGGTGGGTTTGTTCTGATTTGCAGCAACCGTTCGTGTCCTTTGTTCTTTACATTCTCCAGTTTTAGAGGGATTGGGATTGGAATGTTCTCTTCATCATCTAGTCTCCTACAAAATCCTCACAGAAACCCACAAAGTTTAGTACTTTTATTTACTTAACTCATCATCAAAGCTTATGCATATCTTTTACAATACTTATAATAGAAGCAAAACTTACTTCTTTCTTCTACGCTCCTCTCCTCTGTTCTTCAGAGTCTCTGCATTTGTAGGTACAGGAATGTTCTCTGCGTCATCCACTCTCCTGCACAAATCCTCATTAGCACTAAAACTCATTTTTATGGTAATAAAGAAAACTCACAAAGAAGCACAAAGCTTACTTACTTCTTTCTTCTACGATTCTCTTTAAAGGTGCTTCCTTTAGCATCTGTGGACTCGTGTAGCTTATCTTTGCTTACTTCAAGCAATGGTTTTCTTTCTTTTTTCATTTCCAAGTCATGAGCAGAGTAAGGCTCGTTTATTACACCCACTTGATAACTCTCCTTCACTTCGGATTTCCCAGTATCTTCTCTCTCAGTAACCCTTGTGGCTAATCTCTTCAACTCATAGCAAAACTCTGAGATATGTCCTAATATATCTCTCCCTGAAAACAGATTCCTAGCTGATTGTGTACTCTTTAGCTTCGGTATTTCTTTGTTCATCCTCTTGACAGAACTTGATTTAACTGCTGCTCGCCATGATTTTGCTTGGTTGCTTGGACGTGTGGCGAAGTTTGGATTCTGATTTTCACAAGGTGATAATGAATGTCCCCTCCACTGATTCCGTTCTTTAGATCCTCCTGGAGTCTCATTCGTATCCTTGAGACTTGGATGCTTCAAACACACAACAAGCACTAAAAATTTCAATTCTGCTTCATATCTTT